ATGTATAATGCGATTCAACTAAGAATACGACCGACTGGGCGCCATATTGTGATGTAATAGCTGTCAATTCAAACCAAATAGGTAGAGTGAGCAAAAAAAAGTTTTTATTTAATAAAACTTATTTACTAAGATTAAGTAAGAAAAATCATCAGATTTTTTTAATAACATTTATTTACTAAGATTGAGAAAAGAAACCACCGATTTTTAATAATATTTATTTATTAAGACTGTGAGAAAAAATATTAATCAGAATCTAGCTCTTCTATTCCGCTCATCTCTGCATTACCGCCGGAGTAGTTATGAATAATCATGCACTATTACTAGGTCACATCGGTTTTATGTAAACGAAAGTTTGAAATCGCGTTTTTGAACGCAACCTAAAGTGACATTTGGTTGACGATTTAGGTTATCAACCATACATGGACAAAGCTCAATAAGTGAAAAAAAAAAATATCAACCGATATTAATTATCAATATTTGTTATTGTTTGTTTACAAATGTTTAGTTTTTATTCTTGAATTAGCGGAGTGCTAAAAAAGGGTTCCAAGTATTTTTTTGCAAACCGTACTTTTCAAGCGACATTTGACAGATAGAGGTCATTGGCTTTCCTATTCTTATTTGAATCGCATTATAATCTACATTGTGTATTAATTTAAAATTTTTAGATATAACATTTAATTTTATAATTCTACCCCCAAAAGTGAACCAAATATTGGGAAATTCTTTATTTACTTTGATTTGTCCGTGTTTAGGTCACCGACAATTATATGTACCAAATTTCAACTTTATTGGTTCAGTACATTCCGAGAAAATCGAATCAGACAGACAGGCAACCTTGTGATCCTATAAGGGTTCCGTTTTTGCCGATTTTCGACGAACCGAACCGACGAACGTTTCCACTGTGCAATTTTATTTGTCTGTGGTTTTGCTCAAGAATTTGACGCCATCTATACCTATAACAATACCCCTAGCCCGAACCAACATCGAATTCGTATCGTTTGCGAGTACGAAATGTCATTGTTAAATGTGTACTGATTTTTAGTTCTCGTTACGTACTTTGTGCCGCTGCTGTTCAAGTTTCCATACAAAATTTGACATTGACATTTCGGTTTGCAAACTATTCGAATTCGATAATGGTACGTGCTAGGGGTACAGTCGATTATTTTTCTTTGTGAAGACGTTATTTAATGTCACATATTGGCATGACGGTGCAAGATCTGCCAGGAGAAAGCTCAGGCGATCTCTCTAATTTTTTAAAATATAGTACCTTGAAGACCAGAAAAGAAAAAACGCTGGTGTGGCAGGTAAAACTGCTACTTCGGTTATCTTCGCGTCCGAACTCCACCACTAGGTACTTAATATCACATTGGCGTGACGCCGGGGCAATACGGAGTAGGATTCATAATTAAAAAGAGACTAGCGGAAAAAATAATAGAAATCAAAGGAGTCACAGAAAGAATAGCTATCTTAAATATATTACTACCGGTTAGCAAAGAAGGAAAATGGTCAATCATTCAAGCATATTCGCCTACAGAATCAAATAAAAAAGAAGATATAGTAAGGATAGAAAAGTTTTACCATGATTTGCAAACAACCATACAAAACGCACACAAACAAACCATTGTGATGGGAGATTTTAACGGTCAGATTGGAACACGCGATAATGGAGAAGAATACACCATTGGCAAATATGGACACGGAAAAAGAAGTAAAAATGGAGCAAGGATAGTCACATTCGCTTTATCAAACAAACTTAGCATTCTCAATAGCTTCTACAAGAAAAAAGAATCAAAAAGATGGACGTGGATTTCGCCAAATGGTCTCTACAAAAATGAAATAGATCTTATCATGTCCAATAATATTAAAGCTTTCAAAAACATCACAGTCATACAGAACTTAAATTTTAATTCAGATCACAGAATGGTTCGTGCTACACTAACAGGAAAACCTATAAAAAGGAACAGGAGATGGCAAAATGATAGCTCGGCCTTGATGTGTACTGGAAATAACGAAAAGCTTATTACCAACCTTGCAACATTAGCAAACATAATCGGAGAAAAGACCATATCGATTGAAGAGAAATATGAAAAAACTTTGGAAATACTTAAAACAGAAACGAGAAAAGTAAATAAGATCAAAAACTCTACAGAGACTCAGCATCTACTAGAAGAAAGGAAGAAACTCTTACAAATAAAGGAAAATAATCAAGAAAAGAGAAAAAAAATAAGAGAAATCAGTAAGAATATAAACAAAAGTATAAGAAAAGATAGGAAAACAAAAAGACAACAAACACTACAAAAACATATAAACAGAACTGGTGGAATTAAAAAGGCTATTAAAGAGTTAAAGGAAAAAAGTGAATGGGTGCTAAGGGTAGAGACTAAGAATAAAACCAACACGAGAAAAAGACCTGAAATACTGAAAGCAGCAACTGACTTCTATAGAGAATTATACCAAAGTAAGAACCCAAGAGTGGCCGCAGAGATATTTAATTTAATGGATTCTGAGCCTATACCAAAAATATTGAAAGAAGAAACGATTAAAGCAATTACTACACAAAAAACAGACAAAACACCTGGATCTGATCAAATTACCAACGAACTACTTAAATCTACTATACTAGCGATTGTTCTAATATTAACAGATTTATTTAACGAGATTCTAGAGACCGAAACTATTCCAGAGGACTGGACAAAATCAACGATAATACTGTTACATAAAAAAGGAAGCAAAGAAGAAATCGGAAACTATCGTCCCATCAGTTTGATGTCCAATATTTATAAGGTCTTCTCAAAAATTATGTTATCACGAATTACTACGGTACTCGATGAAAACCAACCAAAAGATCAAGCTGGTTTCCGAAGTAAGTTTTCAACTATCGATCATATTCACGTCCTGAGACAAATTTTACAAAAGTACAATGAATACAATAAATACTACTACTTAGGGTTTGTAGATTTTAATAAGGCTTTTGACTCTTTGGAGCACGATTACATTTGGGAAGCCTTACACAGTCAGGGAATACAGCACAAATACATAAGAATATTGAGGAATATATACTCTAGAAGTACAGCACAAGTTAGATTGGAGAAAACAAGCGAAACATTCCCCATAGAGCGAGGCGTGCGACAAGGTGATCCTATCTCGCCCAAATTATTTTCGGCAGTCCTGGAGATGATATTTCGAAACCTAGAATGGGAGGAGAATGGTCTCAATATTAATGGCGAAAATCTAAGCCATCTACGTTTTGCAGATGATCTGATACTGTTCTCTGAGTGCCCAAGAAAGCTACAACACATGCTACAACAGTTATCGGATCAGAGTGCGAAGGCGGGGCTGTCGATGAACACCACCAAGACAAAAGTCATGACAAATTCCTCAAAGACACATAATATCGTAGTAAACTCACAACAAATAGAATACGTAGACGAGTACATATACTTAGGACAACTTATATCGCCCAACAAAACCATGGACAAAGAAATCGATAGGAAGATAGCCAATACTTGGAAGAGATACTGGTCGCTTAGTGAAGTTATGAAAGACAGAGATATGCCAATACAAGCTAAAAGAAAAGTCTATAACACCTGTATTCTGCCCTGCTTAACATATGGTTGTCAAACATGGACACTAACGAAAACCTTAACAAACAAACTGAGCGTCTGTCAAAATAGCATAGAAAGAAGTGTCATTGGAGTCAACAGAAGAGACAAAGTAAAATTAACAGAAATAAAAAACAGAACTCAATTCAAACAGGCACATTCTGTATATCGAACACTAAAATGGCGATGGACCGGACATATGTTGAGGGAAAGGCTACAGAAATGGACCAGAATAATAACAGAGTGGTATCCAAGGGACGGTAAAAGAAACAAAGGTGGGCAAATGAAAAGATGGGAAGATGATTTAAAAAAGGTGGCTGGTTCAGAATGGATCAGAGTTGCAAAAGATAGAGGAAAATGGAAGTCTTTAGAGGAGGCCTATGTCGAAAGACAAGCTGTGTCAGAAAATAATGACCGGAACACTGATAATTTAGAATAGAAACAAATATATATACAGTTAATTAGATTAAGAAAATGTTTCAAAGTTTAACAGCAATAAAGGCTTATTTTATTTTATTTTTATTTATTGGCATGACGGTGCAAGATCTGCCAGGAGAAAGCTCAGGCGATCTCTCTAATTTTTTAAAATATAGTACCTTGAAGACCAGAAAAGAAAAAACGCTGGTGTGGCAGGTAAAACTGCTACTTCGGTTATCTTCGCGTCCGAACTCCACCACTAGGTACTTAATATCAGTTAGGAAGGGTGACATCATGAGATCGGACATATTGATCAAAAAACAGAAGGAAAAAAGTAGTGGTTTTAAGAAACCACTTCGCAAGTGAAACATTGAAAATTATTAAATAAAAAAGGTCCGTCCTCGGCTAGGATTCGAACCCAGGCGTATAACTGAACCACTTAAGCTTGCTGATTAGCTCTGTTTTTTTAATAACAATTAAAAATGTAACGCAACGTGCTAAAAATGAACGAAAAAACATCTGGGCGATGTAACAAAAGTTACACTTTACAACATGAAATGGGACAGCTATCATTGCAGACTTTAGAATAATAAACAAAAACGAACGCTTCAGTGATTGATTCAAAACTTATTGAAGTGAAACTTCTTTACGCACGCTTGACATGAGATTAAGCTGGCGAATGCGTTACGCGTTGCGAAAAGTGTGTTCGGGCGAGGCGAACGGGAGTTGAGTGGGGGATATAAGCAGGAGAAGCAGTGCGCGTGAACATTTTCTTTCTCTTTCACTTATAGCTAGTAAATGAAATATGTATATGTACAGATGGAGCTTAAGAAGTTTCACTTCAGTCGTATGGTTATAAGCATATTCGTTTTTTTTTCTCATACCACATAAAGCATCATTTCAATAAATACTTAATAATGAATGGATAGCAATGTTGTTAATCAATACATATGGTTCATCGGGTCGCTAATGCTATTTCTTATATTACTATAGTGTTGACAAACAACGATAACAATAAAACTCTTTTGCAAAACAAGGACAAAAGCAACAACACAAGAGTTTATTAAACAAAAAAGTCATAATCACACAATAAAATTACTACAAAATAGATAAGCCGTAAAATAGCCTTGTATAAAATATCATAATAAACGCTTAAAGGATTGGGAGTAGGTAAACGAAAAAACACTGAATGCGTTTTTTGCTAGCTTGTTAGTTTCCGAAGCTATGTCGTAGGCTTTTTACCAAACACGAAGTTTGATAAATCCTTTATCGTATCGTCCTCATAAAATTTTGTATGGAAGGAGTTACTTCCTTTTTACGTCTGGCAAGGGCGCTGCTGAGTTTTCATAGAATATTTGACGATGCGATACAATAACGGTTACTTGCAAGGCAAAGTTATTAGCATAATAATAAACTTAATGTTTTTCTTTAGTATAGGTATATGACAAACATTTGCTCCAAAAACTACATCAATTACGAAGCGGTGAAGCAGAACATCTTAAAAAAAAAGGTTAAAAAAATACATTCTTCAGAAACTCGGATGTTCCAAATGACTGACCATATAGTTTAGTCATGAATTAGTTACAAATGTGGCCGGATTTATGATTGGCATGTTTTTCACTCCCTGGGCAGAGACCACCTGAAAACATTAAAACAGGCGTTGTCTCATCCATCATCTCATCCAAAGAAAAAATTCACAAACTATGTATTTGACGTAAAATAACCCTATTTTGTAAAAAAATCACAAACTATGTATTTGACGTGACATTAACTATAGTCAAACTTAAGTATGGAGATACCTACTTAAAGTTTTATTATAAGCGAGCAAATATTAAAAATATATATTTTAATATCCCAGTCTTATCTTGACTTTTGAAAGTTTTCAAATTTTAATTTCCATGTGGATCATGTGGTTGCCTGCGACTTCGTCGAACTATGTTCGTGAAAGTTACACTTTCAGAGAGAAAGTTAATTTTTGAAACATAAAGGATAGGAAATATTCCTCAAAATAAATGTTTTTTTATGTTAAAAGGGTTTACCACCCAGGCAACGACGCGAGTGATGTTTTTAGGGTTCCGTACCTCAAAAGGAAAAAACGGAACCCTTATAGGATCACTTTGTTGTCCGTCCGTCCTTCAGTCCGTCTGTCAAGACCGTTTTTCTCAGGAACGCGTGGGCGTATCAAACTAAAATTCATATCTAACACTCATGTTTACTGTCCCTTGGAGCTGTGAAAAAATCAAACTTCTAATCCAAAGCAATCAAAAGATACAGCCGTTTATGCCGCAAATTTCCGCAAATTTTCGAAACTCGCACGGGAACAAAACCTGCAGGTTACTTCCCGTGAACTTAGAATCTTGAAATGTGGTACGAAGTAACGTCTTATAGTACAGATAAAGGAATAATTGCGAAAACCGTATATTTTTAGTTACATCATATAATAAAAAATATTTTTGAAAATTTTAATGTTACTACCTCTTTTCTCATTAACGCGTGGAAGTATTAAATTGAGTTTGTACGGAACACTCGATGCGCGAGTCCGACTCCGAAAGGCCGTCTTTTTTTGTATCGTAAACACATGTTTTGACTTAAAAACTGCACGCAGAAACGGACGTCCGTTCCGTGCTCCCGCTTAACGCAGCGCAGGCCCTGAAGCTACCGGGGCCTTAACGGACGTGTAACATATTAATTCTTAGTGTTGCCGCACACGGCCCACCGACCACAAGCACAAAACTCCGCCACCGGCATATTTCTTGTAGTTTTCATACATTTTATATGGACCCGGCACACACGGTACGCCGGTGGCCGCCACACGCTACAAATCGTCGATTCGTCGTTGCTCGCTTCTAGTGGCCCGCACCGGCCACTAAATACGCCTATACAAAACGCCGCCACACGTCACTCGCGCGATTCCCCACCCCTCTCTTCCTTACCTTAGTCGGCCGCTGTCGCGCGCTTCAGCCACTTTAGTAGTCGCTTCTAGCTTCTCGTGGCGGCGTTTGTGGCTGTGTGGCGTGTGGCCCGTGTGCGGCGACACTTAAGCGTTATTTGCGTTATTGTTGTTGCGTTATTTCTTAACTTTATACTACTTTACTAATAACAATCTTTACCTTTACTTGAAAATTGGGCAAATTCAGGAACAACCTGTTATGTATCTCCTTGACGCACATCTTCAGCACATTATACGCCTCTTGCTCCGTTAATGCTGAAATATTTCAGTCTAGCTTAATCATGGACATATGAGAATACAATGAGCGTTTATTATAGGTCTTGTTTAAAATAATTATGTTGAGAATATAAAAAATATAATAATTTCATTTAACTGCAGGCGTCCTATATGTCGATTCTGCTAAGTTAAATTAATGATCGTGTATTAATGGTATTTCAGTAGGTTCGATTATACTATTGAACCACGAAATAGACACGATTTTTACAAGCTTTTTTTTAACTTGAACTATTCGTATGTATGTAGCTTTAAAATTGGCAAACATCTGTCTCTGTACCGTGTCCTACTTTTTTTTTCTTTTATCAAACCCATGCATCTTCCACGGTGGCATTACGAGGACACCTCGGAGACTCACGGGGCTGTGTATCCAATGGTAGATAATAATATACATATACAAGAAATACTTAACCTCTCAACGAGCACAGGTCGTGCGCCATAAATGAAATAGGTTTATAAATAAAAAAAAATCTTACAAACGAGTCCCTCCATAATTAAATGAAAATTGTATTATTCTTAATAGTCCCTTCTAGCGCTATACCCGGATATATAAAAAAACTACTGTCACCGCCTGACTCTTTTATATTTATTCATTGAGTCTTTTTTCGCATATTATGACGTAACCATTGAACCGGTTGATTAACAGCTGTTGTAATACCTAATTTGCAAAAAAACAAACAAAACAAAAAAAGAATTTGATTCTAACTAAATGAAAATGGGGAAATATCTCATGTCTACGTGCAAACTTTAAAAAACTACAGCTCTTTTTTTATTTGCTCCTTGTTGGTAAGAAGGCAAGTATTAGAACTTCGGTGTAGATAAGGATGGCGTGGCTCGTGACGTGACTGACTGTTTACATGAATATAATTCTTACTTGGTTTATAGTAACTGTCCAAAATACTCAGAGAGAACAGCCCGCCGTATCCGTGGGAGGCGAATGGCACTTTAACACAAACCGCAAGGAAGTCCAGGCTGTACAACTGACCTCCTTGCTGGTCGTCATACCCTGCGACCAGCATGTTCACCAAGCAAGGAGTCTGAAATGGACGATGCAGAAAAGCAAGCAATTTCATAAATAAATAAATAAATATTTTCCAACACTCACACCAATTAGCCTAGCCCCAAAGTAAGTGAGTATCCCAATACTAGGGTAACGGATAGAATACATATACAGTACATATATAAGTATATTTATATAAAAAATACATATTAAAAATCCATGACTGGAGTACAAATGCTCGTATTCATCACACAAACATCTGTCTCCACCGGGATTCGAACCCGGGACCTCTCGAGTCGGCGACAACATGAAACCCGGCGTACAAACCAATCGGCCACGGACGTCGTCAAAAATTTCATGAATTGAGCGAGAAGAAGAAGAAGACCTCTTGTCTTCTTCTTCTTGCCTGTTTCACTATTTTCAGAGTGGTCGTGATCACGATGATGCATCTGAGAAGCGATACCCTAAGCTCCAACCCTTATTGAATTCGAACAGTTGAATTCGATCTAGATATACGTCAAAGTTGTACTGATTTCTAGTTCTCGTTACGCCCGTTGTGGCTCTGCTGCTCAAGTTTCCATACAAAATTTGGCAATGACATTTCGGACTCGCAAACGTAGCGAATTCGATAGGTATTGGTTCTAAGGGTACGGACAGATCAAGCCTCGTCTTATGATTTTCCACCACCTTGCTCTTCGTTGTCTGTCCGGTGCATTCATGAACATGGCCTCCAGTTGCAGATTTGATCAGAATTAAGATTCAGTTGCAGCAATTTCGCTAAGTATCAGTTTTAATAAAACTATAATATATGCCATAAAATAATGTCAAATTGACATTGACATTTTTCTATGAGTTCAATCTAGTGTTAGTTGAATGGAGATTCAGCAAATTTGCTGCAGTGGACCTGCAATTTTAAGTAGCACTAAATGTTTAACAAAACTCTTTTTGAATGGATTGAAAGTGCGATTTATAAGTTAATAATTCACGTTAAAAGAATTAACAGGTTTGGGTGCAACCCTTTAATTTTCTTTTATTAGATATTGACGTTTGGGATTCTGACAGGCTCTGCTTTTCGGACTTGCGATCACGAACCCTTTATTTTAAGTAATGTAAGAGTATTACCATATACAAAATTAATCAACAGATATCTCACCGTTTTGGCCGTTTAATAATATTTAATTATCACATAATTCATTATACTAAACTAGCTCTCTGGCTTCGGACGGGGACAAAAACCTTAAGACTTAAACTTATAAGTAATATTAAAATCAAAAGCCGCAGAACTGATGGCCGTTGGAGCCGGAAAGTTCTTGAGTGGCGACCACGACTCGGTAAACGTAGTGTAGGACGCCCTGAGACAAGGTGAGATGATGACATTCGTAGGCTGGCTGGAGTGGGCTGGATGAGAGTGGCAGAAAATCGGGAGCAGTGGCGTGCATTAGGGGAGACCTATGTCCAGCAGTGGACGAGCATGGGTTGATGATGATGATGATGAAAATTACTCGTAAATTTTCAGGTGGTATTAAAAAAATCAAACAATCCTTTTTCTCACAATAACACCTACAGCAAAAAACAAGTGGCCATATTTTTATTTCGTAGATAAAAACCAAACGTATATTTTATCTGTCAGCAATTTCTTGTAGACATCAATTAAATACGGCCAAGCAGTAATACTGAAATTACTACAAATAACACTTTCCGACTCAAGCTGAACAGGCTTAGACTAATTAACCCTCTTTAGAGCGTTTTATAATGCGAGAAATGAAAGTACCTACTTGCTGAATAATGACAATAGGAAGAAAGCATTTCGCGGCAAAATGACGACAAAACAAGATCAAAACGGTGCCTACACATGCACATCTTAATATTTTAATTTTCCTTAGATTTTAAAACAAATTTATAAATAAAACAAGTTATAAGTTAAACAGCAGTACTAACTAGTTCTCGCTGCAATATTGTAACTTTTGTTTTTGACAGATTATACTCGAGTGGTGAGTTGGATAATGACTCCTAAAATACATAGAAATTAAGTTTAGTATAATATTTTGGAACTTGTTTATTTATCTACCGTACGCTAAATACTGGCAATGGAATTTTACATTGATTTTAGCGTTTAAACTATATGGATTAAACAATGTTATAAAACAATAGGTTCATATGATACAATAATTGTCAACCCTGAACTGTTTACCTCGCAATACAAAAATACATACGTCTTTACCCCTAGCACGAACCAATATCGAATTCGAATAGTTTGCAAACCGAAATGTCAATGTCAAATTTTCTATGGAAACTTGAACAGCAGCGCCACAAAGTACGTAACGGGAACTAAAAATCAGTACACATTTGACAATGACATTTCGTACTCGTAAACGTTACGAATTCGACATTGGTTCGTGCTAAGGATACTTTTTTCACCAACAAAGAGTCGAGCGAAAATGACAAAGGGGACAATAAGAGTAAAGATGACGCAAAATGCAATCCTATTTTATGTACACGAAGACCGCTCCTCTAGACATCCTTAGTACATTCTGCTTTGGCAGTGGAAACGAGGTTATGAACAAACTATCTTTTTCCATACAAATTTGACGATAAAAATGATACGTTACGGAGCTGACGAAAATACGTGATTGGGCTTCAGAATTGGCGAAGATGCCGTCTTCATCATCATCAGCCTATTAATGTCCTCAGTGCTGAAGTACAGGCCTTCCCTATGGATGGAATAGGGATATTGGGCCATGACCCCACCCACGCGGGCCCAGTGCGGATTGGCGGGTGCTAACGACTGCAGATGCAGCCGGGACCAATGGCTTAACGTGCTTTTTGAAGCACGTAGGACTCGAGATAGAAGATTTATGGTCACCCATCCAATGACCGACCATTACGAAAGTTGCTTAATTTCGATCGCAGCCGAACGCTCTAACCACCCGTGCCGTGTGAAGATGCCGAATCTGACGTACAGATGGTGGATGCTGTATTGCGCATGATTCCGTGTTTTTGAGACTGTAATTCGAATTTCCGCCATTTTCCTATTGTGTTTATCTTACAGGGCCATGTGGAAAGGCTTCGGCTTGTCGCCTAAGTAAATTACGCAAGGTTAATTAAATTACTATAACATCAAAACAATTTTATTGCGACTATGACAGTGAAATCTAGGAAAACTGCTATCCAACCATGAATTGACAAGTAAACAATGTTTTTAATAAAATAAACACTACATACTACCCCGAACGTTAAAGTAAACAAAACCTTTAATTCAATTATAATATTCTCTTAGAACAAGAAGCATTATGTTATATGTATAAGTTTATTTAAAGCATTTTTTACGCTGCCAACTCAAAGAAGCGTCTTCTTCTTTGCCAGCGTGAAGCATATTTACATAATATTACCATTGCCGAAAATTAGATTGACCATTAAAATATTTTGAATTAAATAAATCTACTTATTGTACGTGATCACCGTAAAATTATTATCGCTTAACGTAATTATAAATAGAAAGTGTTATCTTGAAACGTGGAGAACGAAAATTAAACACCACAGAAATACGGTACTAAAACTACATCCATTCTGAACAACGGTAGGTACTGATAAAGATAGGTAAGGTTAACTAAATATTTCCAACACTCACACCAATTATCCTAGCCTGAAAATAGTGTTACGGGATACTGGGGTAATCGATACTAAACATATACTGATACCACTGACGGATTAAGGGGAGGGCAACCGGGGCGAAAGCCCCGGGGCCTCCACAAACGGGGGGCCCCCACAATAGAGACTTCGGAAAAAAAATCTTTCATATTCCAACTAGTAAACATCTTTTTCTTTGATATTTTTTTTGCTATTTTACCTTTACCTACAGCCAGGGCCGAATTTAAGGCAGGGCAGGTGGGGCTGTGGCCCAGGGGCCTCCACAACAGCTTAAGAAATAACAACATTTCGATGGGTCAACAAGCATGCAAATCCTATGTGGCTCGGGGCCTCCACAACAGGATAAAAGATAACAAAATTTCGATGGGTTAACAAGCATACAAATCCTAAGAGGCCCGGGGCCTCCACAATCCTAAATCCGGCCCTGACTGATACATAAGCATATTTATATAGAAATACATATTAAACATCCAGTACAAATGCTCGTATTCATCACACAGACATCTAGCCCCAACGGGACTCGAACCCGGGACCTCTCGAGTAGGCGACACCTTAAAACCCGACGAACTAACCACTCGGCCACGGAGGTCGTCATAATAAATTATGAATATTTTGCTAGGTTGACTTTGACATACATTGTTTAGTGTTCCTAATTAATTATGAATTAATTACGGACACACTAATTTGCGTGGTTTTGACTAGTTTCAGATTATTATCAAGATAAAGAACTTTCTATTCTATGAGCCTCTATAATAGAGATCATAGAAATATCCAAATATCACAAAGACGATATCAGATCACATTAGTATTGAAGTAGTCTCTGATAAGGCGCTATAGCACTCCAGCATTACAATTTAATCGTACTTATATTATAAAGGCGAAAGTTTGTGAGTGTGTATGTTTAAAAAAATAATATTTGGTATGGAGTTAGCCGCACCCTGGATTAACACATAGGCTACGTTTTACTGCAGGAAAATATCCCTAATAAACCGCGGGTAACACCGCGGGGCACAGTTAGTATTATAATAATTAAGGAGCTGGCGAACAAAAAACTACTTTTGTTTACAGTCCGAAGGTATCGGGCCCGTTGAATTTGAATCTCAAATAGTTTTCAATCAAAACCGCCTAAAACAGTGTTAAAATTACTAGTCACCTCAATTTATGTTATTTACGTGATTGCTGCCATGTACCTTGTTTTATCGAGTTCCCGATATTCCGGCACTGTTGCAAACGCCAGGATCACGGACTAACTTATTCATAATTAAGATGGTTCGAAAGACGACACGAATGTAACTTCTGTGTCGTGAAATCTGTCGTGAAACTTACTTAGGGCGACTTGCAGCCAATTTGCTAAACCTCGATTAGGTTTAATCTAGTTTCGAGTTAAAA